CAGCCATCAGCAGCCTCAAACTTGATGGCTACCTGCACATCTTTAGCTTTGTTCCTGAAAATCGTGGTGATCAAGGCCCCAAGGATCCCCAAGGCCCCTAAAGATTATCTATGGTCACCATGGTCTATGGTTTTGTCTTAGTGCAAACATACGGGATGTACATTCCAAATCTGGTTTCAACAATCCAACAAAAAGGCGTTTTCCATATAGTTTGAAATGCCATTTGTATCCATTTGTAGATCACGTTTCATGGTGGATTGTGGGAATTCCTAATTCGTGCCGCCGACACTCCGCCATTTTAAGAAAAGTATGAACTAAAAACATGAAATTAGGTGGACTGGGTGGATGTTAAATACTCAAACCAAATAGTTGCATATTTTGTCGACACTACAACTCGCTTAAAGTGGTTACACAATAAGTCGCTGTTTTTCTGTGATCTCTGCTGGTATGTTTAGTACGGAATTGGGCTATGTCCCTTGATGTATCTTGGCTATGTTTGGGTTTAGGATTCCGGATGATTCCCATGATTCACAAGCCGTTTCAACCAACCATTTTGGAATGCTTTCCCATATATATATATATATATACCATCTGGTTATTTAACATAGCCATGGAACATCCCCATTTTTAAAAGGTAAACCATCTATAACTGGGCCATTTTCCATGGCTATGTTAAATAACCAGAGGGTATATATATATATATATAAACACTTCTGCCATGTCCAAGGAGATAGGATGGATGGCCGACGTTTTTGAGCTTTTTTTTGTAGATCACCCGGTCCAAATCGATTTATCTAAAATAAGGCGTCCCAATTCCAATGGACTATTATGTCATCATCGTCCCCATCTAAATGGCCAGAAATGGGTTATACATAGTTATACCCCATCTTCAGACATACCCACATGGCCAAAGATGAAGTTACACTAAAACTACCCACCGGATCGTTCACCGTTCCACAACTATACAACATATAAAACCGTTGTTTCGTCAGAGCGACATCTTGATTTTGGTTGTAGAAAATACATCATAGATGTTTATCGTTTTGTTTGGGGTCGTGAGCCCTTCCAGCATTTTGGCTCCCAAAACGCTGGGGCTAGCTAAGATAGTCTCAAGGCCACGCAGGTCTTCTTTAAGAGGTTCTCTTGGCCATTCTGCCACCTCCACTGGTTCTACCCGATGTGCTCCCAAGGAAACACATTTCTCTTGCCTTTGCGTTTCGACGCAACATTCGATGGAATCCAGCTTTCACTCCACCCCCCAACCCCGTACCTGTGACATAGCGGTTGTGTCATGTATGAAATGATGAGTATGAACGTGTACATGAACGTTACTTGTACATGAACGTTAATCCCCCACCCCGCCCCATCCCACCAACCCCCCCCAACCACACTTTTGTGGGTGGGTAAAAGATCCGTCTGCTCAAACTACCAATGGATTATTACCCTTTACTAAAACATGTTAACTCCCAATTCCAGTGGATTATCATCTACTAAACTAGCCACGACTGTCACCTAGCCATCCAGCCCCCTATCTCCCGTCAGTTGCGAGGCGCCATCCACGCCAGACTTGTCCAAAGCACCCCGCACCCAGCATCTTTTCCACGGTGAATTCACCTGGCAAATCCAGGAAACTCGGCATCTCCTATTGGAATATTGCTGGATATTGCATGATATCGCTAAAACCATAACATATATCATATATATATGTATATATATATGGGTAGAGGCCTGAGGTTCCCCGGAAGGCAATTGAAGTTCATTGTTGTCAACTTTGAAAAATGTAATTGTTCACTGTGTTTTGCAGTGTTTTGTGTTCTTCCCATAACTTGAGAGCACGAGGAATCAGTTCAACATGCAGACAACATATTTGGGATATGTTGTCTGCTGTTTGAATGTCTTTTTGTTTATTTATTTGAAGTTCTTTATTGTATGTTATTTTTGTAGATTCCATAGGAATTGCGTGTTTTTTGGAATTTCAGTCTTGTTTTGATTGACAAACAAATGCCATAATTCCCCAGAGAACCATGGGCGAAATGCACATGAGTTTTTTTTCCTCTTCACATCCACAAAGCCGTTTTGAAAGCATTTGTAACAACATCTTCAACGTAACAACATCTTCAATGCAACAACATCTTCAATGAGATAACATCTTCAACGTAACAACATCTTCAAAAGTAACAACATTTTCAACGTAAGAGCATCTTCTGATGACACAATGCAATGAACGTTAACAGCCCCCCCTTACTACCCCCCATCTGTTTGCAACAACGAAGACTAACGTAACAACTATGATGACGACGCAATGCAATGAACGTTAACATCCCCCCCATCTGTATGCTTATATTTGGCAGAGAGAGACTCAAGGTTCCTCCGTGCTCTGGGAAACCTCAAGCCTCTCCCCTATATATATATATATATGTATATATATATATATAATCATATATATATAATCATATATATATATAATCATATATATATGTATATATATATGTATATATATGTATATATATGTGTATATATATATATGTATATATATATATATATAGTAATAATCCAACAAACAATGTATAAGACTGATGCATCGAACTAGGAATATGACTCACCTGTATTGTCAATTCGTAAGTGGTATCATCAACCAACTATGCGCTGGACAACCGCAATTAGGGGGCCAGAAGTTAAGGGTCATTGACCAGGTGGGATGATCTTCCAAAACAGTCGTTAGCTGGTGATTCAGCCCAGGAATCGTATGTGCGTTAGTTCACCCCAGATGTACAGCAACTGCCCTGTATACTTGTAAAATGGAATTACAATCGGTTATAATCCACTTACTAACTGGGGTGAACTACCAAATACCAAACGCAGATCTGACTGGGTAAGTGCCGTACTTGGTGATGCAGCCACAGGCCCAATGGTTGCTGCTCATTTTAGCAGTTCTACTTGGATGTCTAGCTAGTTACCCTCTGGTAAACTGTTACATAGCTATGGAAAGATCCACCATTTTGTAGCTGGGAAAACCCACTATTTCGACTGGGCCATTTTCAATAGCCAACTGTTTGACATACATTTTTCATAGGAAAACCCACTATAAATAGCCATTTTCAATAGCTATTTTGACATAACCAGGCCGGGTACATTCCTGGGATACACATCGTTGATTCGTTCACCATTCCGTTCACAAGTTCTTGTGGCCCTGCCACTGAATAATATCACAGTGACCCATGCCCTCACCATGCGCTAAGTGGCTTGGTGATACAGTGATACCCCGAAAAAAGCTCAATGTGCAAAAATGTGCCAAACAAAACACACATACCCTCTGGTGAACTAACATTTTGCAATTGAAAATCACAATTTTTAATGGGAAAATCCACTATAAATGGCCATTTTCAATTGCTATGTTAGTTCACCAGAGGGTACATTATACAGTATGGCAATGTTCATAACCCAGAACACTCAGTTTCCCCACGTTTCCACTGTGTTCCCGAGCCATTGGCAATGCTGGACGGGGGCTTTGGCAGCGACATGGTAATGGCGGACCGCCCCGGATGGTAACCGTTCCAGCGCCCAGAAACAAGAAAGGGCACAAAAGAAACAATGACACTTGATCAGATAAAAAACTTGCTGTGACTTGCTTCTGCCAAGTTTCTTGAGAATAGAAAGATTATAGAAATAACATGAAGTAACTCTATAAATACATGATATACGTTTAAACAACAGTTCTCATCATGTGTCTTCGAATGGACCTTTCCAACGATCTTGTACTTTTTGGGGTGTCATATTTGGATCTAGACGGGACCAGGGAACCATGGCGCGTCCGAATGAAACGAATGGATCTATCGGCGGCATCAGCGGCAGCGGAGATGAATATAGTAACGTACGAGGTTTGGGTCTGTGTGAAAAGGGGGCATACCGGGGATATGTCCATTTCTCGCCATTTAAACAGGAAAAACACATCATCATCATCATCTTCATCATCATCATCATCATCATCCTCATCCGATTGAATTGGGGGGGGGGGGTACCTTATTTTCAGACACATCCACTTTGGCCGGTAAAAACATGATTATTATCTCAACATATATGACATATATCATAAACATGAAGTCATAAAGAAAATATACTACTATAATATATATATATAGTAACCATCCGAGATTCATGTAGATTTGTTACTTGGATGTGCGGGACCCACCAATCTTGATTGACCTGGGCCTGGAAGCACCTGGAGGTGTTCTGAATTGTGAGACAACACCACACCCAAATGATACCTAAGTTGGTTTATTCACCAGGTTGACTCTCAAGTGAGTTCGTGATGGATATATCATGATATATATCTGCTGAATGAAAGACCAACAGTAATTAGCTAGAGCATTTATATGGTATTTCTTTAGCCTACAACGAAACCTAGCGAATTAGCAACACAGATTTCCAAAGAAACCGCAAAGACTTGTTCCAAACAAACACTGCATTTGTTTAATTCTACTGCTGTATCATCAAATCCTGCATCAAAACGGCAATGCCGGGATATAGCCTATTTCCGAACAAATCCAAGTATGGTCTTAACTTAATTTAAAGAGTCATAATCCCTGGAACCACGGACTCAACAAAGAATTATTAAGCAAATAAACTTACCAAGAACTAAAGAGTTCATCAAAATTCACAAAGCTCCCAACACCACGATGTTGCCCAATCTTGTTTAACCAATGTGTATCCATTTTAGAACTACATGGCAGGCTAGCCTGTTTTTGAGCCATACCCATACCATCTGTAGTGGGACAAGCCATGGCCAATCTGAGATAGGTGGGGGGTTGGGGGGTGGGTTACTCAGTAGTAGATATCATCATATATACAATCAGTTGCACTAAAGTATCAGCGGTCCAGATATATCAGCTCCCAATTCTATAAGTTAACCGCATTTTTATGGGATATTTCCAAAAATATTTCCCATGACATTCCAATACAATAAACAAATCATGCATTTATTCAGCTGAATCCAGCCCAGCCTGCGCAAGGCCAAAGGCACTGGCGGGTATTGGCATGGCCAAGGGTGGCCTGGTGCCATATGGTGCCGTGCTCCCATCGAAACCATCGTTTGACGCGTTGCGTTTCAGGGAAGATTCTGGGAAGGGTTTAGGCAGGTGTCTAAAAATTAGGTATATAACTGGTACTAGTAGTTCCTAGAGATATACTTGCGATTTTTTGGGGAGTTAAATGGATTTGGAACTTTGTAGAACTCCCATTCAACTGGGGATACTTCCGGGAAGTGTGTTATAGGGGGATATGAATATATATATACCACATATGGTATATTAAATATTTTTTTGTGGGATATTGGCCATAACTCCCATTTCATGGGGAAATTCCTCAGATATGTATATATATACTGAATATAACAGCAATTTGGACAACAAACACTAATATCATCCAGAGAAAAAAACATATATCCACCTGGTCACTGGATTCCTAAGAATTGCATGTTTCTGTCTATGAATGGTTCTCTGAATATAACTTGGAACTATAACTTCTGGGGATATTCTGGGTAAATTCCTCAGATATACCTGTAATTTTCATATCATGGAAGATGGTGCCCCAGTTCGGTAGCTCACTTAAGCTTAGATATGAATGGGATAGTAGCAGGAATACCGCGGGATATATCCCCAAAATTCCCCAACATATCCCCCAACAATGTATAATAATTTCAGGGTGGTGCCGCACGGGTGCGAACGCCAAGTTGCTTAAAAAACCCAATAACTGTCGGGTTTATGGCAGATCTATCGAACTATATCAAACTAGTTGGGGGGTAACATGCACCAACAAACATTTCACTGGCAAGCGCCACCTTGTGGTTTCGGTGGTTTTATCTTCACCGTGAAAAGTCCGTGAAGCCATGGTTTGGGGCCATTTTGCTGTGGCGGGGACCCAAGTGAGATTTCATCCTGGTGTCATCTTACCACAAAATCATTGAAACAAAGTTTGAGGAATTAGCACACGCAAACATACTGAGCATACGATTGAACACTGTTTGTTGCCAAACCTTGATTGAGCAAATGAATCACTCACAAGTACTCCTATGCAGCATGCTGTTTCTCCATGGCGAAGGGAGTAATTGGGTAAATTGACGGAGAATTGGATGATGGGAAAATTCACCTGAACACCCATTTATCATCATTTATCCTCATTTGTTGTTGTGCCTGCCGGAACAGGTGTCCAAGATAGCTACATTGGTTTATATCTGCAAGAACGGTTGGATTTATGGTCGATATAGCAATCCAATTAGACTGAACTATAAACATACATGGGGAGCACGAGCTTGTGGTGATGTTTGACCAAGCAACCTACAAAGGAAGGAAAATTAAGCAACCACAATGGTTTGAACCCCTCGTGAAAACGTATGAGGCAATTCCCTTCCTGATTCCCACATGGGAAGGTAGCTACAGAAGGAAGCACCAACCAAGTGGGGACATTGACATTATTTTTGCTGTTTAAGTACCACTTGCGTGTGTGTGTGTGAAACCCGTTATAACATACGGATATTTTACAATTTCGTACAACGAAGCAAGGAAGACAATATGTGGCGACAATAAGAACTGAATTTTAATTCAGACATGCAGGGGGCTGGAGTGTGAATCAGAAGTCTCCAGCCAACGAAGACGCTTCTGATGTCACAGTGATATCAACCTGGGACGCTGGGTTGACGTACCTGCAATGTTGGTTCGAACTTTTGCACAAGCTGTTCTATTACCTTGTTTTTGAGTCCTTTGGCAAGAATCGATTGCCCGAATTTCACCGTTTGCAACCGTGCCCCATCGAAGGTGACTTAGGAAATCAGGCGACGGCAAGTTCTACTCTCATCATCATCAAATCAACCTAAGCAGTGTGTTTGGGTGAACTCACTGACTTGTGAGCACCGTCGATCTGCTTCGTGCGGGTCTAGATCTGGTCACCGGCCGCTCCGGTGGATAGTGGAATGTCCAATTGGGACAATCCGGATTTGACGTGGTTGTTATGTCAATCACAGGATTACTCCACTTTAGGAGCGAATTATGACAATTTGTCATACTTCAACGGATTAGTCCCAACGATGGACGGATTAGTCCCTTCGAAGGACCAGGATTAATCCCTATAGGGATGGATTAACCCTTCGGGGGGTCTCACCTGTTGTCTTACCCAGGTCCGATCCTTACAGAATCACAGTTTGCAGTTCAAAAAACGTTCTGATTCTTTCACAATTCCGTTTTCAGTTGTTAAAATTTTCTCGCTGTTTGACATTTTTGTGACCTTTATATGTTTGCTTTTGAATGTCATGAACAATGTACCCAATATGTTGGCTCTGAAGCGACAGTTGCTGCAAGATGTCATTGTTTTAAACCAACATCCTTCAATGTTACAGGTGGTTGTTGTCTGCTTCAATTTTATTGTTTTCCTTTTTTTTCTCTTTTGCCTTCGTTTTCATATATGGACATTATCAACATTACCATGATACCGACCGGCGTAGTTCCGAAGTCCATGGGTCCCCCACCTCGTGATCCAATTCCTACTTGGGCCACACCAGCTAGCAGACGTACCACTGAAGATGTCAGTTTTCATTATCGGGGATTCACTGGCGAGTTTGAATTCAGAGTACCTCGCGGAGAGGCATCACTCATGGCACAACGTGTTATTCAGAATGATCAGGCTATTCAGATGCACAGTCTACAAGTTCAGGAACATCAATGCCAATTGGGAATACTTCAAGCTCAAAATCAATTTCATCAGCTTGGGATTATCTCTCAATTTGCCAATTTGACGCATGCAGGAAATCAAACAGGTTGGATACCTGGCTTACATTTGACCTTTCCCAATTCTTCGGGACAAATCGCGACATCAGTTACACCTGCTCTGACTGATCGGGTAACGACCTCAGAACGGCCATCGAAACGATTTCGCAGTGAAAATGTATTGGAACCTCCAAGATCGGAACGTGGTCCGGATCCCCTGGACAAGTCTGGTACGATTCCATCTCAGCTCGGCACTTTCGTACATCAGTGGGGAACTCAGAACTTCCAAAGCGATGTCGCTCCTGAAGTTTCTGCAGAGACTCAAACAAAATCAGTATGTTTCAAAATTGGACGACAACCAGAAAAGTTTATCTCTTCCAGTGTACTACAGATTATGGAATTTAAGCATCCACAATTGGAACACCTCGGACACCATTTGTGGGTGTCGCATCCACTGGCACGTTTTTCGTCCAATCAATTTGATGCAATACGACATGGAACATTGAAGGAGTTGGATTGGTGTGGACTGTACAGCACTGTATTGCGTTTACACTCAGATTTATACCAAAATCCACATCGAATTGCTGGAGGATTTGAGATGGGCAGACTTATTGAAGAACCACGTCAACAAAAATGGATTCCAAACATGCATCATTTTTGTCGAGCCAACGGCTATCAAACCTTCAATGAAGCCAAACGAATGAGTGGTTTTTGGTATGAATATGTCACACATGATTTGCGCACATGCTTTCCATCAGCCTTCATGAACTCACGAGCTGCTCATGTGGAGGAAGGAATCCAAATTTTGATTGCATCCTTGATGCAATATCCAGCCAACTCTATTTTGATAGAGGAATTTCAGATATTGATGTCTTCCACACAGACACCCTTGGCCATCCTAGCATCAGTGCAACCACCATATTTTCGAAGCACTCCCAAAGTCCAATTCAATCATCGTTTCCTTTTTGGCCATAACACTCAGGCTTTAGCTCTGTGTGACATTGTTCGGGAAGGATTTATTCGTCCTTCTAGTTGTGATCCCGCTGACAAATCCTGGTTGCCACCTACTTCCTTTTATTGCCGAGCAGTCGTACCTAACCATGATGATTTTCACAAAAGTGATATGGAACGTTTGGTCAAGATGTGCGGAAAGTACGGCGGCGCCCTCAGTGATCGCCCTGTATGTATTCTTGGAGAAGCATTTTCGAGGCAGGAACATATTCGTACACCACAGGGTGGAGTTATGGCTGACCATATGATCACTATGGTAGCTGACTCAGCACATGGAGCGGACCAACGGTGGGCTTTCCGATCCCATCTTTCGAAGATCAAGTACGTCGCGGTGATCCTACATGAGAGCAAATTAAAATGATTAATCCATGGAGTATACATCTCCAGAAATCATGTCTTGGAGTCTTTATTTGGAGTATAAAAACAGTGCTGACTCAGATTTTTCGATTGTTAGCTTCGCGTGTGTGCATCGTTTTTCTGCCGTGTTCTTGTCCCCTTTTCTTTTTGCTTGTCCCCTTTTCCTTTTGCTTGCCTCCTTCTTCCTTTTTCCTTGCTTCTTCTGCATGCTACCTTCCCGCGGTGTCCTTCTCTGTGTTGCTTCTAAGTAATTTGTGCTCCGCAGCGTATTTATATAGGAGCTATGTTGCGTCAAAATTGCATCAATCGCCGACATATTTTCAGGAACGTTATGCTGATGAAGAATCTATGCGATCAGTTTTACATCACCGGTGTCTGTTCTGTTCGATGCATGTGGAACTTCATACTTTAGATTTTTCACAATGTGAATTTGACAATGAGAATTGACCTTGACCTTGTACAGTTCTACTGAGTTAACAGCATGTCAGTCCATTAAGTCACTGTGTCAGTGGCACTCATTTTCACACAAAGTTCTTCTGCGATTTTGTCTTTGACACTTCAGCAGGTTCAAGACATCAACTTATCGACTTTCCTACTCTTCCCCTCCTCATATAGACATGGGACGGAATTCTCGATCTCGATCGACCAGACGAACACACAGAGAAACAGGAAGACGTAGATCATCTCGCCAGAGCCCCAGAGAACGATCTCCTCGTCGGAAGAATCGGGACGATTCACGTCATCGTTCTGAGCTCAAAAGATCGCAGACGGACCGACTTGAGATCCCGTCATCATGGAACAGCAGTGATACTCATTGGGACACAAAAACAGAATATGGACTAAATCTTCCCAAGAGGGTTGAATCTACTCAATTTAGTCGTCGACAGAACCTTGCAGGACAAGAAATATCCCAA